AACGTTTTAACATGTTCAATTCAGTTGTTGACAAGTTTTCCTTCTTCCGGTCTCCCAACTACCGCAACAGCTAAACAGCGCCTTTTTTAATTGGAAAAGAACTTTGTTCTTGTTGCCACCCAACTTAACCGGCAATCCTGAAGAGCAACTGTGCGTAGGAAACTAACAAGTCAAGGTTTCAAATTTGGTGATGTGCTAACCTCTGCTTTATATGAATTTTTCAAGTTTCCTGGTTTAAATCGTATCTGTAAATTTTCGTCTATTTTTCTGAAACAACCTTCACTTTTTATAGGGGGCAGGAACTCAAACAACTATCACTTTCTAGGCTCTGTCTCTTGACTATCGAAGGTATGTCTAGTGGTATAACCGTTTTAAACCGGATCGATAAACAACACGGATTGAACGTAATAGTTTATCTCAGAAAAACGGCATAAAACGGCAAAACGCATATTTCATTTGTGGTCATATGACAAGGCACTGGGATGCAAGTTCTAGGAATTCGACCAGGCTAATGCAGTACCTAACGCCTACCTTGAACCGTGTGTATGACTAACTTCGTGATTTTGAGGCCTCTTTCTCTTCTTGAGTTGCTCTCGGATTTGCATCTAGACTTAAACAAAGAAAACATCTGGAAGCTTTTTTAACAGTTTGGTTGGAGCATGAAGGTCTCAATTTTAATTTCGATTTCATTTATGACTTCGTTGGGGCTTACAGGGGAAGAATTTTTCCTTCCCTTACAAGGGAAGAAAAAATCATTGATAGAAGTTGCCTCTCATAATAACTTGCATATTTTCTCAGTGCATCAATCGCTGATTCCAAATCTGTCTTCCTTATCCGCAGAGCATCTCTGAGTGAGGAGATATGAGGTTTGATGAGCAGATAACTTGAACGCGCTAGGAGGGTAAAGTTGACTGTAACATCTTGCACAACTCGCAGATAAGCTAATGTATCGTATGGGTATAGCGGACAGGAGTTACTCTTTGGACAAAGGTGGTTTAGCAGATATCGCTTTCCATTCGAGGGGAAATCTCCTTCAATGATTTCCTTCTTGCGACATCTTCGAATTTTCGTCGCAAAAACTTTCTTAACTTCTTGACCAAAGGTGCTCCGCCGATGAGGGAAGAACGATTTGGAATTAGCGTTCGATGCCCTTTATGAATGTATGCACCCCATTTGAAAAGGCCACTTTGACCAAGGATCCTTCCTTTCTTAGATTAACGTTCATACATTGGACATGAAATTAAGAGGCAAAAAGATAAGGTGACAAATAGCCGATCAGCAGATGTCCAGAAATAGTTCTTTGCACACTTATCATTGTCTGAAAAACGCACTTGTGCGCTTAACGAGATAGCTCTAACTGTCTAGTTTAGCTAAGCTCAGGAAGATTGACATGAATATAAAGGTCTTCAGGACAAAAAGTGTTTCTGTAACGTCTGTAGTAAGGTAGCGATATACAATCGAATTCTGTACTTTGTAGTTTGGAGTAGACTCAGTTTGCAAACAGAATCATCGAATACGAGAAGTTAACATTTTTTGCCCTCTCCTCGTGGTTGTACAGCATGCTATTAGGGTGGACGGCAAAAAGGGCAGCTTGATTTTTACTACATTTTGAGGTTTTTTGTTCTCACCAACAACAAGCCAATTGCAACCCGAACGTCACTTACATGATCGACCTTCGCCTATCATTCTGGCGACGCGTTAACGCTCCTCTTTCATAACCGTGCGCGTGAAAAAAAACTTAGAGTTTTTGGAACAATTCTCAATCTTGCGCTGCCTTACCATAAAGTTGTAAAGCAAATGACATACCATTCGAAAGAGCTCTTTATGCTCCTTCAAACGGTATGTTAAATGCCTGATACCTCTCTTCAACTTCAGAAAGAAAAACGAAAAACCTGAAAGATAGTTATTTATCATGTTTTGCCTTATATTTTCCGAAGATAGATAAAATCTGAACTAAGTTGCGTATGGATGGATAGAGCGTAGAAAGCTCTATTTGGTTTCTAGAAAACATGCGTTCACCTGCAAAAAATTGAATAACCGCGTATCTTCGTCCCCGAAGCTGCTAATGGCCATATCACCTGACTTTGAAAGTTGAGGCCACCAAGCCGTCCTGCGTCGGTGAGTGTCCCACCAAGCACTCCAGCAGTGGTACTTTGGGTGGTCTCACATGTTTCACTGCGCACATACTGCTCAAACTCCATAATTCATCTAAGTGACTAACTTTGCATTTCAGCAAGTATAACAAATATCAAATGACCTAAATGACCTTGTATAGGTAATATCTGAAAAAGAATAACATATTCTAACATCTATCAAAATTGGAAAGTCTAATCAGTTCTCTTTCTTGAGAAAGCTCTAGTTATTTCGTAAGTGCCCCATTTTTTACCGTTCATCCTAATACTTCACTGCTTTAATGATGTCAAGCTCAATTCCATTCAAAGCTCAAACTAATGAGCCGCTGTGGTGCAAATTCCCATTTGTTTTGCACCCTTGGTACAGGCTTGTGAATTTTGCGTAATCGTTTATGTAAAGGATACTGCATGACGAAGGCGCAAAAGTAGTATTAGTTGATCGGGCGCGAACGCGGCGCTCGCTTATCCTTACCGTTGTTAATCCTGCGCCTAACGAGCTCTGCGGCTAATAAAGCCGCGTTCGCGCCCAAAGATATTGCGCCTTCGCACGCAGCAGCCTTTAACTAATCATGCCCTATAGAAGAAAAACTATAATAAATTCGTCTCTTATCAGGACTCTTCAAACCGGGCCAAGCTAAATATCATTCTTAGGGAAGAAAAAGAGGAGATTGTTCTTAGATTATTTAACTTGGCCCGGTTTGAAGAGTTCTTGCGGCGTCCAGACAAATTCACGAAAAAGTCGTTCCGCACAGTGCGGTGCCCCATACAAAGAGGTATCCTCGCTATCCCGGTGAACGTTGGGCGGAGCATTTGCAGACATTTGAACACGTTGGTAAACTTGTTAACCCTTTATTGCAAAGCATTATTTTTGTAATCTTTCGCTACCGACTCTGCCATGTATGACAACGCCATATGTAGGTGGCAGTTTAGAGAATATATGAAACCATACTTGCAGTAGTCTAACAAGTCATTAACGCTTCAAATGTCTGCAAATGCTCCGCCCAGCGTACACCGGAGAAGCGACGATACCTGTTTGCAATCAGAACACAACGAAATGGCACTAAATCTGGTGCGCATATGCAAGTGAGGGACCATGGCTTCAGCATTGAAGTAAAGCTACAATTGCTACAGCCCCTCTCTTAGATTATTTTTGATAATATTTTCAACATATTATAATTGTAGGTGAAAGGTTTTCGTATGAGCGCAGAAAACTTTCATACTACTTGATCTAAAAATTTTTCTAGCTCATGCAGCATTTTATTGGTAGAGTAATCAACGAGCAAAGGCGCTGAAAGCGTCCAGCGTTCAGCATTCTCAAAGCGCACCCCTAAGCGAATGAACGCGCAGATTTTTATGCTCATTGAAAGTTTTTGTTCACTCTTCATTATGCTTGTTGCTGCCTTTTCCTTATTGGCAGGGGAAGGCGGGAGGGGTTAAGGGGGGGGGGGGGGGGGGAAGGCCATAAAGAGAGTAGGAGAGAGAGGGGTGGCCAGCGTACGTGAAATTTGAATTTTTCGCGCTAAAAACTTCACTGCAAAGACAATTTTGTCCACAACATATATTTGTCTTGCTGGCTCAGCACCTCGCTGCGGTCCACCAGCATGCGCAGAAGGGAAAAAGGTCGTCGCGAAAAGTGGTCTATTTGTGCAGGATTATCTCAGGCAGGATGAGAGCTGAAAAGCCCAGATGGTCTATATAGTTATATAGAGGTCTGCTGGGGCTGTTATAGAGACTATTCATGTTTTTGAAGGACCAGCTGCAAAAAAAAATTCTCGCAAAAAATTTGAAAAAACCATTTTTTGCCCTCAAAAATGCACCTTCTTCCGAGTAAATGACCTTGAAATCTTCTAGTTCTGCACAGAAAGGACCAAATTTTTGATTACTGGCAACATTGGTGGGGTAACGCCTTGCACATTTTTTGGACCCATCATCCAGGCGTGGCGATCCTGACAGAAGCGACGCCAGCTGCGAAAAGAGTTGCAGTCAGAAGCAAGTTCGACAGCGTGTAATTTCTGAGGGCAAATCGCAAAACTCGGGTGCAGCTGCAGGTCAGAAGTCAACAGGCTCCTCAAACAGATCACTTATGATTTGGACGAAATCCCTTGAACTGCACAGAAAAATGGCCGTAAAAAGAGAAATTGCTAAATTTTTGTGGTTGAAAAGATTTCGCTTCTTGATGTGCAGATCAAACACGTGTTGGCATCGATAAAAGTCGGAATGTATATTGAAAAGCTTACGCTTCGCTCCACTGAACGCTATACAAACTTGGTGTCAACATCCGAGCGACCGCCGAAAAAATGCGTTTGAAAATGAAATTTCCAAAAGTGCCCGGGAACATGCTTTACAACCTAATAACTTTTCATAGTCACCTCATAAGTCAACATATGCAAACCATTGAACTAGGGAGGGGAAAAGGGCCCAGTGATTAGATTGACTCATATTTCCGACTTAAGTTTGCGATGGAAAGAAAAGAATTATATCATGAATATACTCTGCGGAACTAAGCTTTAATACAACTGGCTTGCCGGTTGGAGGGCGGGGCTTTGTGACCTATATAGGGCGCTCGCGCCCGCGGCGCAGTCTGTGTCTTTCCCGTGCCGTGCCCTTAAATCATTCTCTGGCCTTGATTAGGTTACGAAGCCCCGTCATCCAGCCGCCAATACAGTTGAATTAAAGGATACAAATACTTTTTTCGGTGCTGCTTTGAATTTGAAACCTTATTGCTTTAAAAAATTATGACTGCTTCCTAAACCACTGATTGTGGTTTTGTAAATCCATGTCATTATGGTCAAACTTTATCGATACAAGATCTAAGTATACTAATGTCATACTGCTCTTTATATACACATGGAATGATTAAAGTATGATAAGAGCCATTCCTTTGCGTAAAGTACAGCCTTTGGTGAATAAATATTAGATACGAATAAATAAAAAAGGTAATGAACATAAAGAAAGCGAGCGATTCGCAGATGGAAAAGAGGCAAAAAAGCCAGTAGCAACTTATGGTAAACGTATTTTATGAGAATTTCAGCTCCTAAAAGAGGAAATGCATGAAGGAGTGATGACTGAAAAACTTGAAAATGACGAGACAAAACATAATTAGCATTCAGCCATGATAAGCTAAAGGGCTGTACAGTGCGGATCTGCTTGAATGGTGAGTTCACAAAAAAAGAGAAGATTCTGAGTAACAACTGTGAATGGTCTAATTATGCAATATTTTGGAGATAAAGCTATGTATGGCCGCAGAAAAGATCTAGCAGTTGCATTGCTGTGTCGGTGGCTTTTGATTAGTGGTCGCGTCCAACCTCTGACCTTTCGGTTGCTGCTGTGGGTCCTGAAAGGAGAAATCTCGGTAAACCCAAAGTATTTGCAAAACTGCACTCAAATCCTATGCTTTTTTCAGGCTCATATGCATTTCAAAGGTCCAGGTTTAGTTCTATGGATGAAGCTTATTTGGATCGCAGTCTTCCTCTCTGACTAGTGAGCTAGGCGCTAGAAGGCGCGCTCGCTTCGGGACCCGCTCTGTTTCCCGCTATCTGATAATTTTTCAATGCACTTTACGATTCTTTATTAGACTAGTGAATCAGCATTAAAGGTGCTAGATTGCATCCGCGCGCTCCGGGACCCACCGCGGTTTCCCGCTATCTGATGTTTTTTGAATTGACCTTGCGATTCTTTATATATGCATCAGATCTTTAATTTCCGATTTTTGGCATAAACTTTTTCAACACTCTTAAACAATCCTGGGGCAGAAATTTACGAAAACCGTAGACATAATCACAAAAGTAATGCAAAATTGGTAGGATTATATGACAGCTTCTATATACCTTTAAGCGAGTGGAGATACATAACGAACACTTTCAGAAAATTTTCTGGAAGTGAAGGAAAAAATTTTAGTGGTGGCGCTGTCAAGTTCTTAAGATCATATTTATATACTACTAACAAGTTTTCTGTAGCAGATTAGCGTTTAAGATAATCAAATTATTAGTCGAGTTTACACCTGGAACAGAAAAGTTCTGGAATTGTGAAGCCAGCTTTTTGTTATCATAATCCAAGTAAGGTTTGAGTAATTTGAGAATTGATCCAATCCTCATTAGCGCTGCTGCGACATGCTACTTAGCAAGAGATGCAAAAAAAAACCATCTGTTCTGAAGTTATAGCATTTGCGTTCATAACGTTCATATAGCCTTGGTTAGTACATCGGCCTTTTTGTTAGAATAAGCATTGATTAAATTCTTCCCACTTTCGAAAAAGTGTAGTCTAAAAAGAGCCCATCTGCCTCCTTTTTGAAGCGTAATGGGCTTTGAATTCAAGTTCGCTCCACGATAAAAATGCTCTGAAAGAGTTGGGACTAAAATACCTTCACATAAACAAAGTGACGTAAATTTGTATTGCTAGATTGCTAGGATAATCGCTTTTGATTTCAGTGGATTAAATCCTTTGTGAACGCTCAGCGAATTGATGGTTTAAAAGATAACGAAATCTTGTGATAATAAACTAGTCTGGTGTATTTTTGAACAATCGCAAAACAAAAGAATTCAGTTCTGATCTTTCGATTCTTTCGACAACAATTCTGAAAACATTTTGAGAATATACATTGACATGTGCAATTTGAGCGTATGGAGGTGTCACGAAACCTTTTTCACGAACAATTTCTTCGCCATCTTTCAAATGACTTACAAAATCAACAACCCAATCAGCTCACTTGATCTTTAGTGTGAACAATCCATTTCTATTCTTTACTGCAAAGCTACCACAGGAACTACATACTTTTGCATTATTTATACAGAGCTTCACAGGGGTTTCACTTGAGATGGACCTTCGTGATAGAAATTTCTTCTTTTCATGACAAAACGTATGCTTTATCAATCATATTTGGAAACAAGAACCATCGCAATTCGACGGCTCTGGGACAGACGAAGTTACAGACTCCGCTCGCTATTTTGAATGTACGTGAGCCACCAGAGACTTTAGACGTATTTCATGCGATGGGTCATTAGAAAGGTAGTGTTAAATCTCAGTATCATTGAGTTACTATCTCCATTCTTAACACATTCACGGCAATACGACCCACCGGTGGGTCTATGCTTTCCGAACATTTTGATTTTGCTCGTTAATGATGAAACTTCTCGGGCAATTTGAGTAAACTTCTATACATATCTTTTGGATACTTCCCAAAATATTAACACTTCACTCCACAGGACCCATCAGTGAGCAAAAAATATTACGCAAACTCAATATTGCGAAATATGCTCTGGTCGGAAATGGCATTCATTGAGAAATCGGCCTTTTCGTAAATGTGTTAATGTTGAATTTGCAAGTCCAGCGAAATCATTTTGATGGTCTCGCGTACACAAAGTACGAAATCACAATGTAATCGCACTCGAAATTAACGTGATTCGAACACAAAAGCCAATAAAAAAAATCATGAACTACTACTTTGTCTGACGGTATACATCCATACAAGCAAAACTTTGATTGTTGATTCTACCTTAAAGGCAGCAGCTCGGCAAATTCCCGATTTCAAGTTTTTTTACTTACCTGGGATAAGTCGAGGCGCTGTATCCGTAAATCCACCATGAAAAGCGCGAAAATGGCAAAAACCGCCATTTCCCAAGGCTTTCAGTTTTGAATTTGGACGTGTGTAGCACTTTTCGCTGTGGTTAGAGAGGGAGGCAGAATCATTGCGGGACACTCGCAGTTATAACATTGCGCATGCCTTCTCCGGCGGGTCAGGGAGAATCGCAAGCTCGTCCGCGCGTATTAGAATGGCTTGCGCGTAACGGGGTTTTCTAGACAAAGGTAGCATGCTGTGCGCTCGGACCTGCCCTGTTCTCATGTTGGGGGTGCAAGCAACCTTCCATGTCAAAATTTCAGGATGTTCGGTTTTGGCGAGCTGCTGCCTTTAAAGCAAGCAGTTGTTAATTAATTTCCATCATTTTCAGAAATTACCGAACAAGATCAGGTTCTCCCTTTTGCTCCACATATTATATTACATATTCAAAGAAGCATTCCAATTCCCCGAAAACGAATCTCGAGGGTTCGATTTGAAGCATAACGATTAGAGAAAGCCATCGCAACAAACAAAAGGTTTGCCTAATTTTTTAGTCGCACAAAAAGAGTCGTAAGATTCGACGGTAAGTTTCATATGTAATTTTCGTAACACAGAGGGTTCTACATTGTCCCGAAGAAGTTTCAAACTTTTTAGAGGCTTGAAAATCTGGAGCGAAAATATTCAGAATTTTATAATCGCCTGTTTGTCCCTCGTTTTTATGTTGTTCCAGTTTTCGACCCAGTTGAAAGGTATTGCATTCAAATGCATCTGCTGGACTGGAATTCTTTGAAAGCTAAATTACTTAATTAAAGATAATATTGATCTTGGGAAATCGAAACTCTAACGATACACGAACTTATCATGCAATATATTAAAAATCTCGTTTCATGATGTAAAAGCTCAAACATAAGCAGAATACGAATTGTTTGTCTTCGATAGACGAAGAATTGTCTTGCGTCAGTACAGATATGCATCTGCTTTTTACGGAAGTCATGTAAACGTAATTTCAGATAGCCCGAGAAACGTCTCACATCATTGTGATGACAAATTGCGTTGAAATAGCCGTAGAAGCAATTCGTTTGTGTGAGTCTGGGAGAGTTATTTGAATGATAAATGAAAATTTACCTTATCCAAACTTTCTGCCATTTTGTCGCAGATAATCTCAACCAATTTTTCGAATACAGCTTTCACATTTATGTTTTCTTTCGCGGATGTCTCGAAGAACTCAAGACCTGCAAGTTTGAAAAATCAAAGATAAATAAAATATAAATCTGTGAGTCATACCTAGCTGATCTGCTAGTTGTCTTCCCCTTTCCAAGGATACAACTCGTTCGCCATCCATATCACATTTGTTACCGACTAGGACTACTTGGGCATTCTCCCACGAGTATGTCTTGATTTGAGTGCACCTAAAAAACATTCTCTCACTGTAATATTCGGGAAAAAGCTTCAAGGAAGAAAATGACGTCACTGGTTTATTAGAAAACAGTAGAGCTTACCAATCTTGAACACTGTTGAAAGATTCTTCATTGGTGATGTCATACATCAATATGAATCCCATAGCACCTCGATAGTAGGCAGTGGTAATGGTACGGTAACGTTCTTGTCCGGCGGTATCCTAAAAAATTAATATTTATGCCACATCTCCAACCATTGCCTTTTCCATTTTTTTACTGTTTTTGAAAACTACACGTGAGTAAACAATGATAGTCACCCTCTACTTTTTTCCTGAGTTTCGCATCACTACATAAGCGGTAAAAACTCGAGATAAATACGAGCTTAATTGAAAATGACGTGAAGCGTAATGGCGTTAAATGGCTGCTAAAGTGCTGAGCTGAAAAAGTAGAGGAAATAGCACAAACAACCAGCAAATATTAAGGAAGTGATTACACTTATTCTGCAGAATTTTTTTCGAGCAGGCAAAACTTTTAAAGCATTGAGCTAGCGTTGACAAGGTATAAGTTCCAAAAAACCTCGAAGAATTAGCTTTTAAAAAGCAATTCAATTTTTTCACGGTTTGAAAATTTATTTTAAACAAGCAACCGCAACATATACATGGCATGCTGAGAAGTTTGTTCAGATGTTTCTCAACCCAGAACTTCAACGCAGCGCATTTGTTACATCTTTTACTAGATAAAAGCTTGCTGGGGTCTCAGAAAAGTTTTTTGTGCATGAGGAAGGGGGGGGGGGGCGGGAAGAAGAGGAAACAACAAAATTTTTTCCGAATAATAGCATTAGCCATCCTTGAAGTATACTCCTGCGAGGGAAGATATCGGCAAGACCTATCTATAATCCTTGAAATAACACGCAACAATTTTTCATAACATGTTTGAATAATGCAAAATCATTTATTTTGGGCTATATAAGTTTCCCAAATATATTATTTTTTGCATCATTTTTTAAATCTAACATATACCATTAGCTTTTGCCTCAATATGATGCTGAATTTGCATATCGCAATTGCTTTTTCTTTCGTATTTTCGAAGTTGGAAATCCCGAAGGTAAAATTTTTGATCTACGATGCTTTGATTGTGCATAAACAATCAGTGCATTGCGAGTACGTCAAACGCAAATGGGCTGGGAGCGATGTACTCAAACCCTAACGAACTACTGAATTGGACGTCCATTATCTATACTACATCCTTAGTTAAACAGCTATAGTGCAAATGTGTGCATTTGTGCATTTTGGGTTATTCACAGTAGAAAGCGCGGTTTGTATTCCCAAGCTTGAGCAAAAGACTCAATAAATCAGAACGATGGAACATCCAAAAGCACGGTTAAAATCCGCGCCTCTATCATGGACGCATATGGCGTGAAATTACACACATTCCCATCCTAGCTGCTTACCTATTATGTGCGCTCGGGATAGATGATTACAGAGCTTAGCTTACGGGAGCTCATATGTAATCCACCATAAGCACACAAGTGACTTATCTTTGGAAGAAGCTTTGATACTATGCTATATTGCGTCTGATGAATAATTCTGCGTTAGAATAGACCTAGGCGCGAATGTTGGAAATTCGAAAAACAAAATATTTAGGCATGCACTTTGCTATGTGCTTCACCATGCTTCACTTTTACGACCTCATAGGGCTGAAAGAAAAAACTAACCTAAGTTTCAAAGAATAAAGACTCATACTTCAGCCCCTTAAAATCTTATTCACCCTATACTCTGGGAGACCTAACCCACTAACTGAGCAGTCAAATATAAAGTATAATTCATATTAAGCACCTCGCAAAGATTGTTAGGAAAGCTCGGGAAGGTAGATTCGTACGCAATTTTCGCTTCGGGAACATTTTGAGGTGAATCTGCACATAGGATGGTTTTCACCAGTGAACATTATTTATCAGATATACGAGGGACAGTGGGATCGTTAAAATCTAATTTAGAATATACTACAAGGTCGGTTACCGTTTAGAGTAAATTGTACATTAATATGAAGAGGAAATAAGATGAGGCTTAGTGTCGAAGTATGCTAGAAGTAGAGCAGCAAAAAAATTTTTTTTGAATAACCTATCGCCATATGTAGTAAGTAACGAAAGAGCTATAGGCGGAAAGTAGTGTTAAAAAGGGTATGGAACAATAAAATTGAAGCCCAAATTCTATCAAAAATCAAAAAGAGCGAATTTTGAATTTAAGGGTTTTTGAACTGAATTTCAACGCAGGAAGATTTTCAGGAGCATTCACTCAGAATTGTTGCTCCTTTGCTTTAGAGAATGTGATTGTCAAAAAGTGTTGAATGCCGTTATCATGAATAACAATCTGAACAGAGCGCTGTTCTCATGAAGCATATGCACCTCAAAATTGCAAGAATTTTCAATTATGATGTTGTACCTGCAAAGAGGCTCTAGGTAAATCTAAACTTGTAAGTAAAAGATAAATCTAAACCTCTAGGTAAGTCTGAACCTTTAAGAGAAAAAGAGTGGTGGAGCACTTTGCTTCAGTAAACAAAAAGAAAATGAATTCAAATAGTCGCAAGTTACCAAATGAGAATGTGACCTCCTAAAATCAATTTTTTGGATGTGTTCCGACAAAAAGATTACTCACGCTTTCAAAGCACTTTTGGCTCGAAATATCTGGCTTAATTTGGAAGGACAGCGGATTAAGAAGATCACTGATTAGATACAACTACCCAAACAGGACTCACCCATATTTGTAGCTTCACACGTTTGTCGCCTCGAAAAACTGTTTTGACCTAAAAAAAATTGCAACACAATTGACTTTTTTGAAAATATTCTAACAATAAGCTAAGGCTGACGATCCTTACCTTAAAATCGATTCCTACTGTTGATACGAATGCCGATGTGAATGAATCGTCGCAGTAACGAAATAAAAACGATGTTTTTCCAACGGACGAATTGCCGATGATTAGCAACTTAAACAGAGCAGTCATTGAAATTTTAGTAACAATGCGAACAGAGTGTTTTGTTTGTACACCTGTACAACAGGAGCTGATGGTTTGTAGTAAAATTTAGTCATTGGTGGGTATGGCCAGTGGGGTACCACATGATACTATTGTCCCAGTCTGTCACTAACCTTTTCATGTGATTTTTATTGGTGGGGGTCTACTCTGCTATTGGAAATGTCCTCTGGAAAAATGTCACATGATTCGCAGAGTGGACGCAAGTTTTTGCAATGAAATAAATCAGATGCTTTGACAAAGACAAGGCTAGTGTTGTTTTCGTTTTCTCCTTTTTCTTCCCTCTTATTGCAGATCTAAATCAGCATATTTATAATCTTCTTCCCCCCCCCTCGTTTGTGAATCTCCGCAATTTTGCCACATCCGAAATTGGGTAATCCCAAGGGTCCTATGACTGAGTAAGTTATTGGCTCTCTATCTGCTATTTTAATAGCTCGTGCCTCACCATCGATGAACTTTTATTTTCAAAATGACAAATAGCACATCTGATAAAGAAACTTCAGTTTGGATCACCAGATCAGATCAATCCAATTAGATATTACACCACAAGCTTTGAACTCTACGACATGTTTTGAGAGTAACACGACCAATATTATATTTTAAGTAACTGGTATTTTTACAGGAGTTTCAGGAAATGTAGTTTATGTAAGGAGAAGAAATAGCAAAAAACTGTCAGATTTTGTTTTCCTTTTTGAACGAATTTTTTTACGTATTGTACTCATTCTTTTCGCCTCACAGGTAAAGAAAATCCTGGGTTTTATTAGAGGATCCTCTAGCACATGGATTCTGAAGTAAAATAAATGTCGAAAATCCTATAAAGGAGTGCTCAAAAATGAAGCTTTCAAGTATTTTCAACAAGTCTGTTATTGAAAGAAAAACGGACAAACACGCATGAGATGAGATCTGTGTGAATGAATTGTTTTTCAATTATTTCTGTCTATGCTTATACACCAAATGAGATCCTTTGTTATCAACAAAATTGCTTATTGTGACGAATCAGGACGAGCCAGGGTAAGGTAATAATTTTTTTATTGTTAGTTGTTCGAATAACTTCATCCATCAATTCATCAATCATAGATTATGAGCTCAAAACTCGGACCTCTTTCTCGAGAAAAAAAACCCTAGCTATATGGCAAAAAAATTCAGATCTTTTCATGTAAATGTGATACATTCTTACGATGATCCTCAAACTAAATTTGTAATATATACAAGCAGCAAACGCATAAACGAAATTCATGGAAAGTGTTTAGAAATAATTGGGACCATTTTTTCCCGAAATGTCAACCCCGCTGAAATGTTGGTGGGCTTTTTATTCGATACTGACGTGGAGACCGAATGCAAGAACCTCAAATCCAATAGATGAGCCCAACAGAGACATTTGAGAAGCCGTGAGCTCAAAGCAAAATCAATTTCTTTCCCAACGCTTAGGGCAAACGAGGCAGATGAGAACTAGGATGTCGAAATCCAAATATTTTTTTTGTTTTTTAGCCATTATAGAACAAACCTTGAACATATAATCAAAATTCTGATCAGTTCCCTGGGCTGGTTGCTGTGCTCCAGCGGCCGCCATTCTGCAAAGTACATTAGGGCATCAGGCCAAAAATAGAGGGGGAATATGGAACAGAACGATTCGAAACAGAGAGCATTTTGAGTTCAAAATTGGAAAAGTATGGAGAATATTCGAAAAGCTGTTAATAAAGCTTCAGCGGACAATATTTGTGTGATATATCTGCTGCAGGAGGGAGTCAGACAGAAGATTTGGAGCGAGAAGGCTCAGGAAAATAAAGAACGAAGTGGAGAAAAAAACTATGAATATTCTTATGAGAATAACTCGGTCAGCAAGCAATTCTAGGATGTTCCAAATAGTTACAAAAATTCATTGAAAAGTGCATTTTTCAGAAAGAAACGCGACAAAAACGCCTTACAGCCTGCTATTCCAAAGTGATAAGATAAGAACGAGCCGATGACGTGTGGACGAGTTGTCCGGGCATCCTTCTACTAGACAATGGTATGAATAGCTGTGCTGAATTGCTCAAGGCATGAGGAGTAAAAGAGGTTCGACGTATGTATGGCCTTGGAGCTGCGTCTGAGCGCGAGATCGATAAGCTGCGGCCAGAATACGTCGCTTCGCGTCAGAAGCGCGTCGCCACGCGACAGATTAGCTCGCTACCGCTAGTGTCTGCTTCAGTGATTCGTTGAAGTGCCGTGAACACGGGGGTTTCTTTCACTGATTTGTGAAGGGCTAACGTTCGTTGACTCTCTTGCGTGGGCTAAAGGGCCTAAATTGCGAATTCACACGAGTTTCAGCGAAAACGGCTGGAAAATACGTCAGCTTTTAACGTCATCAGATGATGCCGCGCCTTAGCATTAATGCGCCAGACGCAATGGGAAATTTGGCCCGAATACGCCCTAAACTGTCCGAGCATCGCCGGCTTTTTTCCAACCAAGACATGCACTGACATACTGAAGCATTGACATAGCCCTAGTGCCCTCATAGAAGGAGAGAGAAAAGAATTTCGCTGGGCATTAGCTGCTTTTCTCTAGCTGCCGAATCGATGCTGGTGGCGCACCGACGACGATGGTGATGGTGTTCAAACAAGTAGTACATTCTCTTTCTACCCCTTCAATAATATTGTGAATAGTAATGGGGCCTCGCAGACGCACACACAAGGACCTAAAGAGTGCAGTAAAGAACGAGCTAAAGCTTCTTTGTGTCTGCTCTGCATCGATCATGCCTCGCCTCAGAAAGCGAAAACATTACGCGAACATCCGCCCCTTCACGAAAGAAGGAGGGCTTAGAATGTGCGCCAAACCGAATAGTGCACCCGGACTAGGTACGCTAGCCAGCTAGCCCCGTATGGCAGAGGGGGGGGGGGAAGAGCGGGACCCAAGTCGTTGTGCTCTATCGAATTGATTTACGCTTGTCGATGTCGCACGTCGGAATGCTCTCGCTTAAGACCGGAGATGCCCAACGGACGTGCTACGGACGGAAATCTCCCTCCCCCCCCCCCCCACCCGGCTCGAACTTCGATTTTCATTTGGCCGCACGAGGTGCCAGGATAGCACACAAATTGGCCATTTGCCGCAGAAAGTGCAAGTACTAAGAAACAAAAACAAAGTTCAAATATGGAAGTGCAAATAGTACGTTTGAGAATCGGTTTGAATTTTCTCATGGTACTTTCAGATGACGTGCTTTCTACCGGGTCGTATGGTCACTGGAATGTTCGCCTTATGTTTTCCATGCTCTTAAACCCCCAAAGCCAATTTTTATGTGCCCGTCCAAAAAAGCTCCTAATTTGTGTGAGCTTTCACTTCGTTGTTTGAATCTCAAAAAATTGGATAGGCGTGGCGCGACTGCAACTGACCAATCATCGTCAAGGCTCTTGATGTCTCTTCACTCCCCTACCAAATAAAGCTAGGGTCCGACCACAAAGCTATGTACCTGTGCCTTAGAAAAACCTTCTTCCACTTTGAATGGGTATGGCGCGAGCGCAAATGGCCAATCACCATCCAAGTCCTTTATTTCCTCTAGTCGTGATCAAACACGATTGGTGGATTGAAAGCTCGCGCCACGCCCATCTTGAATTTTTTTCTGGAAGTTTTCAAAAGTTTGGGTAGAAGCGAGCTCAGCGCAAATGGACTAATTTAGACGTTGAAAAAATCAAGATGCGAGGATGCCAGCTAGAAAAACCGAAGTCAGTTCTTCCCCGAAACACAGAAAAACCCGCAGAGTGAATACAAAGTGTAAGCTTTCCTCTAATTCAATATGCATCCTTTCCTTTTTTTACAAAGGGTAATTTGAGCACATTTTTAATGCTGGCTACAGCGTTACCCAATCCGCGTTATGACGTTCTTGCATGGCTGCTCTTTTCGAGAATTGTCTGACGAATTCCAGCACTACAAATCACGCTGCAGAAAGTGCTAGCATCCATGCCTTTATTGGAAAAATTGAGCTGCCTGCCAGACTTATTCATATTCTCACGCACCCGGCTTTTTCGGGCTCTTAAATGCCCTATGGGAATGAGATGAGTGCATAGCATTTTTGCCGCAAAATCCACTAATTGCTTACAGCTGTCCATTATAGGTGCATACACACTATGTATTCAGCATACCAAACGCTTCGTCTTTTCTAACTTTGAAAAAAAAATTAAGCGCAAAATAAAATAGAAAAGGGCACAACAGAAGCTGTCTAGTGGCTAGCAAAAATTAGCAGTTTGCTCTGGTGCCCCTAGTACGTTTGTGCCCTGAAGGGTTTTGGGCCTATCTTGATTTCTTTCGCTAGCTTCCTTTTCGTTCAAAAACTCAAACAAGTTTTATTGAGATATTCATAGGCGTTATGCAAAGCAAATATTCATCTGCGCAGTAACCCAATGCAAAAATGGATCATCAAAGAACATGTGATATTATAATTAAAGGCTACTGCATGACGAAGGCGCAGAAGCAGTATTAGTTGAGCGAGTGCGAACGCGGCGCGCTCGTATTCTCACCGTTGAAAATCCCGCGCCTCATGCGCTCTGCGGCTAATAAAGTCGCGTTCGCGCCAAAAGATATTGCGCCTTTGTCATGCAGCAGCGCATACTTAGTCATATTCTCAGGTATTCTAGAAGAGAAAATTTTACATTAATCTAGCAAATTGTGCTCTGTTGAATTGGAATGACCAGCGGGAGTGATCAGTTTAAGCAATGATAAAGAACGGCTCGATCAGTCCGAATCTTGCTCAGATAGAAAGAAGGGATTTGAAAGTCTAGGATACTGGCTGTTTTGGATTTTATGGCGCAGGTTTGGATTTTTTATCGGGCTTGCCTCAAAATTCCGAATCTGAAGTTATTTTCTTCTCCCATTTTTATCTCTGCACTCAGAGCCTCTGGTGGAGCATGCAAGCTATCATTAAAAAGTACATGAGATACCCTTTCTAGATGTATTTTTCCCATGCAAGATATCATGGCAGAAAAAAGTTACGATTTTTTGAAAATCGTGCGACAAAAAGTTTGGTTCAACCTAATAACGTATAATATATACAGGATGTCCAAAAAATGTTAACGCTGTTTGATCGTTGATAACCCCCTTGCTTTCATGTCTTTCGGCAGCTTTAGGCACCGTTCTATATAGCGAGGTTCAATTTAGATCTGCAATATGGAGCGAATCATCGATCATTCTTCATTACAAACTTCGACAGGGATTTTAGGCCATTAGAAGCCTCTGCCTCGGAAGAAAAGCAAACAAATCAAAAACTCTTACACTATGATAATAGAGGCTGCTGATTTCAAATATGAAATCTCCGCTTCAATGTGACCTCCTTCCCAAGGTTATCCAGATAAACCTTAATAAACGAATTTCCAGCATCTGTCAGAAATGTGATTGCACCATCAAAAAGGTAAAAATACTCGTAAAAAATTGCGTAGTGAAATCAGCGTGTGCGAAAACCCTAGCACACTTTTCAGATTTTTTGAAAAATTTTTTGTCAAATGGCATATTTAACAGTGGAACTATGTGCTAGAAGTTCATACCGTAAACCTATAGTAGAAGAATGAGCTTTCATGCGGTAACATGCGTTATGCAATTCGTACTACGACTTTCGTAAAGGACAGACAGACAGAGATACATATACACATACAAACATATATATATTAGGTCGTTCCGAAAGTAATGTCGCTTTTTTCAAACAAACGCCACATTTCATGGAATCAAGATTTTCAAGAGATCTTAGAAGCGATGCAGCATTTCATCCTCTTTCTAATGGTTGTAATTTCATTGCATAATTTTCATTAAGCTTTCGAAAAATTAACAAAATCTGCAACTCATGCTTTTTGCCATGGTCAGGTTCGGCAATTTTTTAAATTTTTTGTACCTATTCTCCGAAGAAGTACAAGTGGCAGGTAGATAGAGCAAACCCTATAACACAGACAATTTTTTTCTTTTCCTTAGCTTGCTTCTCAGAGTTTCTACAATCAATTTCTCAATGCCATCAAATTCCATATTTAGTCAAGTCAAACCTCACAGAACAACAACCGGCAAGCGACTCGGGTGTCATTCGATGCAGCTTTTTCTCCTCTTTCTAGCGGTTTTTTTCTGTTTCCGATTCATCAAGTTTTCCGGGATAAAATTATCATAATTCAGGTTTTCCAGGGCGCTTCAGGCTGTACCCGGAATTTGCGAAAGTTGCTAATCTGAAGCGGTAAACGCTCATTTGCTTTGTAAAATTAGTGTCAAACCATTTTTCATCTTTGTAAGTTTCAAAATCCGAAGATTTACTTGTGTTTGATGCATTTGTGTCTGAGATGAGCCTGCTAAAATTCGGTGGTTCTATCAAAAAATCTGTACAAAAATTATGACCAGCTCTGGAAAGTAGAAAAAAGTTGTGCTGTTTTCTGTAGAGTTTGCTCTATCCATTCATTACTTGTACTCCTTCCAAGGGTTGTTATAAAAATTTAGAAAAATGTTGAAAATTGGCCTTTTAAAAAAGCATGGGTCGCAAACTTAAATAATTTTTCGAGAGATTGTTGGATTTTGTACAGTAATTATATAACTTTTAGAAAGAAAATGAAATGCTGCATCATATGCTTCCAAAAT